GCGCCCCCCCGCCCACCAACAAGCCACTGGGCTCCACCTGTCCCATGACCTGGACCGGCTGGGTCCTCATTCACCGTGAATGGGGGGGCCCTGGCTGGGCCGGGTCATGGGACAATCCCCACAGTGCAGGAGAGAGCGAGCAGGGGTCTCCCCTGCCCCTGCCCCATTCCCTCCTCCACTGTGGCAATCTCAATCTCCCCCCCGCCCACAAGCCCAGTCAGAAGCCCAGGCCAGGTGGCGGTGGCACTGGGAGGGGCTACAGGCTGGGCTGTAGCCCCCCCAAATCCCTCCCAGTCCAGCCCGGCCCAACATGCCCACCAAGAACAGCCTGGCGCTGCCCCAACCCCAGCAGCCCACAGCCTGCCTTGACCCACGTGTTGATCTCGGGGCACGCGCCCCCCATGCCCTCCTGGGAGTGTGCATAGCGGCGGAGCTGGAGGGGGTGACAAGTGGGGGACAGTGGGGCTTGCACACGGTGGCCACAGCCGCTGCCCCACTTGGCCACATGCCATGCTGCTTTGCCATGGTGAATCACGGCTCTGTGGGCTGCTGACTGGCTTCATGCCTGGCCAATTGTGCGCACAACCCACCACCCCCTGCTCTGCTGCGGGAGTAGCAGCCAACCTGTAGAGTGAGTTGGAGTGGGGGGCGGGAAGGTGCCGCAGTGTGCTGTGTGGGACCAGCAGCACCCGGTGCATCCTTCCCCCGGGTAAGAGGTGAATGTACTAGGGTAGATGTCACCGCCACACCCCAGGGCGCACACTGTTCTCACCCACCTGTGCGTACCCCTTACAACCTTTCTAAGTATCCCTGGAGGTATGTATGCCCTTGGTTGACAACCCCTGAACTAGCAGATCACATGCTGGCTACAGTCCCTGTTGAATCAACAAATAGCTGGTAATGTCCCTCTGTTATTCTCTTAATTGGGTGATAAACACTATTATTAATTCCCTGCTGGGCTAATCAGAGCTCCTACCTGAGCCTGGCCACACCCCACTCAGCTCCATGCTGTGGAAGGAAGGAAGGAAGGGCTGCTCTAGCGCCCCCCAGCTTCTAGTCTGAGCCACTGCAGGCATTTGCCTGCATTTCTGGGATGTTCGTCTGGTTACAAAACTCATTTTGCCTAGCCAGGTTAGACTAACCTGCAAATACTGAATGAATTCAGGCTCAGGCTTTCTGAATGTCTGTCCCTAGGCTAGGGGGATGGTGAAGCACTGAAGCAGGTTACCTAGAGAGGTGGTGGAATCTCTATCTTTGGAGGTTTTTTAAGCCCAGCTCAACAAAGCCCTGACTAGAACGATCTAGTTGGGGATGATCCTGCTTGGAGCAGGGGGTTGGACTAGATGACCTGCTGAGGTCCCTTCCAAATCTAATTTTCTATGATTCTAAGTTCAAAAACCTGGGACAATGAACTGTAAGTCAGAAATAAATAAAGAGGGTCAAAGCTCCTTCAATTTTAAGACTAGTCAGTTTCACTTTTATCATGGAACTTCAGCAAACTAAGACTCATAAAGGAAAATCTGTAGGTGCTGGTAGATGTTACTTTTATGGCGCGATTAGCGTGTTAATTGCACCATAAAGTTGCAACATTTCACACTTTCAGCCATATTTTGTGGCTAATTTCCCACTTTATGGCACCATCGTTGCTCCCGATATGACATACAGCATTTTTGTGGTTCATTTTTATGGTGCCTTAAATTGAAAGTGTTGCGTGTCCCAGACCCAGGGCTGTCCTGTCCTGGTACTGTCAATCAGCTCATTATCAGAACTGGCCCAATTCAGCTCTGAAATGGGTCCAGCATGCATGCAGCATTACCCGGCACAGGTGGGGGACAGTGCGAGGCAGGGTATTAAAAAATTCTGCAGCACGGCTAATCAGCTCCCCCATCATGCCTAATGCATTTGCAGCCTTGTCCAGGGAGCTCAGGGCAAGGTTGCAAACTTGAAGCAATGGAGGACCCTTGCAATTGGGATTGGTCAGGAGACATCCCTTCAGTCCCCCATCTGATTCCCTATCAGCTAGGTCTCTGGATGTGGCACAGACCAACCCCTAGACATGAAGCAGTCCTGGGTCTAAAAATTTCACGCTCAGCATTGCTGGGCTGCATGTACAGCGCTGAAAAGCTTGGAACAGGGGAACCCAACATCAGGAAGAACCCCACCCTGATCTCAGGTTTGCAGTGCATTGGGACTTTTACACACTACACATGCAGTTTTTAGACCTAGGGCTACCCTATGCCCAATCCTGCATTGTGTCCCAGACCCCAAAACTGCCCATTCCCCATCTCAATCCTCATCTGGGAGATACCTGCCAGATCTGTGGGATTGAACCGGGGGCAGCCTCGGGTCCGAGTTTGGCCCCAGAACTTGTATAATTGGGATGTGAAGGATTTTACGCCCCTTCCCAAACATCGTAGGTCCTGCCATGCATGTGCAATATGAAAGGATATGAGATGTTTAGGATGGGGCAAACAATTCCTCAGGTCCAAATAATGCCATTATTTTAACATCTGCCTGGGGGCAGTGTTATCACTTACTTGGAAGTTTAGCAATGAGCAGTTATGTCCCACTGGTCTCCACTGCTGCATAATACTTCCTAGTTATAAGACCTGTTTATTATTATTTTAAGAGAGATGTCTTAGCAAGAGGCAAACATGTTTAGTAAAACTTAAGTAAACTTTTAGTAAAACGATATACTTTTCTTGCATAACACACAGGAATTACAAGAACCAGAAGTTAAGTCAATTTTTCTGCAAGACAGCTTTAATTTTAAGAGTTATAGCTAAAGTTAAATCTGTTTTCTAATGTAAATACTAATTCCCCTGTAATTCCAGCCTTGTAATGCAAAGTAATCATTAACATAAACCAACGTACCCCATCAATTGCATGGGTTTCTCTGGTCTTGGAGAGTGTGTTTCAAATGGTAACAGATTGTATACCTACATTTACTGTAGCTTTGTCAAATTCAGCTTCTGAAGAGGTAGGTGACAAGGGACTTATGGGACTGAGAGAAGGGGAACTGTCCACACTAGAAATGTAGTCTGGGTCAGGAACGTACAAAATCTATAAAGAAATTAAAGAAAGATATGGTGGTTAACAGTTAAATTAGCTGTTTCAGTTACACAGTTTTTCCTTAATTGATTTACAGTATTACATGAATTAACTTCTTCTCCAGTTAAGCTATGCTTTTGTATTTTTTCCCCATAATATAAGTCAGTTGTAATTTCCTAGTGCTGTTGTAGTCTCTCTAGCAAAGCAAACAATATTAATGGAAATTCCTTTATGACTGATGCACATAGTATAATAATATTTGAAAAAACAATACACTTTACAAAAATATTTCCATTGTTTTGGTACACAATAAAACATGCAACACAAAATATGTTTTATCATAGGCTCAAAGACATTGTTCTAGTATATATCACTTGTCATCAGTTCATTTAAAAGTTTGAAAAGCTACGTTACGGTAATAAAGACTATGGGTAGTAATGGAGAAGAATAGAAAACTCAGCTAGTCAAAGAACCAGATAAAGATAGCTACTCGCAGTATGTCAGAAGTACTAATTCACACTTGTCCATTGCTATAAAGATTAGTTTAAATACCTGCAATAAAAGTGAAGTACTTCTTTGAACTTTCCACAGAAAGGAGTACCATTAGTCAATTACTTAGACAAAAGGCAGGGCAGAGTCACTCCAAGGCATTGCTAGGAAACACATTCAGTCCATTCACTCTTAAGTTACTTGTTTTATATCTCCAAATTCAGCTTTTTTTTTTTTTTTTTTTTTACTTCACTGTACATATTTACCTGGAGAGACAATCTTAGGACTCATATGAAAATGTATTTGAGTTTTCACTTACCTGGAGTTTAACAATAAAAACAGGTAAGTGAAATGAGAGCATCCCCCTCTCTTGGCAAAAGCATGCATGGTGTTGCATGGACAGCAATTGGAATTCTATTAGCATAAGCAATATGTACATGTAAATATAGTAGCTGACCTGCCTCTTGTTTTTATATTATTTTGTATAGATTTTAGCTGCTGTCTTTTTGTTAAAGTTGGCAAGATTTCAGAATGAATACAAACTGTTAACCAAACCATTAGAAAGAAAACAAAAGCTATGACACACTGAAATATCTTTGTAGTAAAGCAATACCTTAAGCTATTAATTTTTTAGCTGGGTGAAGCTCTACACAAGCAATCTAAAGAGACAAAGATGTTAATATGCATGATTTACTCATACTGAAGAAACAGTACCTGTCCAGGAACAACAGATCTCGCAAAAAGTTTGTTTAATTGAACCAATTCATTGGGTGTTGTATCAAATTTCAAGGCAATGCTGTTCAAAGTATCTCTTGATTCCACCTGTATTCATTGAAACAAAGAAATAAAATGTTAATCAGTTTCCTTTATAATACTCTATATGTTCAAACTTCAAGTGATAAGGGTTTAAATCTTAATACAGAGTACATAGGCTACTGCTACCTTCTCTCTTTGCTCCCAAAGGGGTTGCATGTATGTTGGGCTGAAGGTTCAGACAACAGCCCCAAGATCAATGGAATTCAACAAGAAATGCCCAGAATGCATTTCAACTGGTGTCACAGAGCAACCAATGATACTACCTCCTCTACTACAATTCCTTAACCATTAATAGCAGACCTCATTTCTTGTAAAACACAGTACATGGCACTGATGCTCTCTTCCTTCCCATTTCAAAAGGAAATAATACTTAGGTAATGAGCTCCTAACTTAGAAAAAATGTGACCAAAAACAGATCAGCATGGCTACAACTGGGCACAAAAGGAGCAGACAACCTAAGCTGATGTCTCCAACATATTCACAGATAGGAGAAAAGGGAAGGCACACCTAAGAATCATTTATAAAGAATACCTCTTAATCTATTGTCACATGTTGAAAACTATACATGATGTAGTGTCTTATTATGATAGGCAGACATAAAATGAAAAGTGTACCTGTAAGTCTGTTACCCTGCAATACTACCCACAATGTAGGGTACAAGGAGGGAAAACAATTATCTCCATCAGATAAACTAAATTTATAAGCCCATTTGACCTTTATTGCCAGACAGAGGCAAATCTCCTACTGAACTGAGTGAGAGCTTCAAGGGATGGATCAAAAATAAGAGTTGATGAAATCTTATATATGGACTAAAAATAAAAAGAAGTCGACGAACTCTAACTCCTCTTTCTAGATAAGAATTTTAATCATCAAGGTTCTCATTTCTGCCTCCCCTTTCTTGTCCTCTTTACTAGAATGTGGGGTCTTGAGAGTAGTAACCCCTCAAACAGATACCCTCAACTCATCACTGAGGGGAAGTCCATGTATGCTAAGTGCTCACACATTTCCATTTTAGGAAAACAAAATAGGATGTTGACCAATTCATTTAATAAAAATCTACAGGCAGCTCCAATGACAGTCTTCTTGCATATGATTTCAGAAAGTTGACTACTCCAACCATTTAAGAGTAGATCCATCAATATTACTTCAATATTTCAGACTGTTCGCTCCCTCTGGTGGACCATATAGAGGGCAGTCGGTTAGTATATGTTGGGCTATCTGATCTCCTTTGCCACGTGGGCACAATGGTGAGTTTGTAAGGCCCAGTTTATGTTTGATTTTATTGAAGGCACCATAGCCTGACTGCAGTCGATCCAATGGCAGCAACATTAACAGAGGGGCACTTATGAAGCATTATCATTTTTGTCCAACTGTTTCCTTTTTCTAGAGAGGATGTTTTATGACTTGTACCCTCTTTGTCAGCTGCATCAGATTTTGAGTTACAAGTCATTGCCTTAGCTTAGTTCCATCATTTCTCAGTATTTAAACCTGGTACTGTTTAATAATGTCATCCCTTTCTGAATTTTATCTAAAAAATGAAGAAGCCTACTGGAATCAATGTTTCAAATAAAATAAAGGGGTGAAGAAAATTTGAGAGTTGTTTCACATTCTGTGAGCTTTGAAGAATTCTTATACTTCATAAATTTGTTTGTTCCCTTAATACAAGTATATCTTAACACTGCTAGAAGTTAACTGGACACTTGGAAAATGCATTGCTTTAGTCTGTTTTTCCATTACTTTCAAGATGAACATTTGTAATTTCCAAATCACAAGAATTTGAGCTTTTACAAGAAATAAGCTTTTACAAGAATACAGATATTCAACACAGAACTGGAGAGGACCCAAAATTACATCTTCGTTAACATATTATATATAGACTATATAATAAAGATAAATTTTACTCATCATTTAATCAGCAGGTGTTTTGCCTAAATAGTGTGGAAGAACGAATGGCTTGTGTACCCATTCCACAACACTTATGTGGCACAAAACGCTAATTTAACATCCTTAGCACGCATATCAATGTCAAATACTTCTTCTAAAAAGAAACAATCTGGAATCAAAGTATTTCTTACATATGCCATACTTGTTGATGCTAAATACATTACAGCAGAGCAAAAATGGCTGTTTGTTCCTTTTGTCCTATATTCAGCCTTGCTGAAAAAGCTCTAAAGCTGATACCTGTCCCAGCAGTACAAACCAATTCTTATAACATAAGCAAGCTGAATTTTAATAGTTTGTTATGGTTTTCCAATAGAAGTCACGTGGCCAAAACCAAGTCCTTTTTTTCCTGAGGGTGCTTAGCAAGTTTATGCATGGGATTATAGAAATGTGGCTGCTTGAAGCAGCAGGGAACTAGACTCAGTGACCATGAAAGAACTGACAATGTTAGTAAAGGCTGTCTTTCTTGTTAGCTCAATATTTCTTAGGAAAAAAAACTTTACTATGCACATTTGAACAACAGGGTTATTCTGTGAGAGCAAAGGAAATTGAGTGAGGGACCATCTAGATTTCCACTTGATGTGACAAAGCAAGCTGTATTCTTAACTTTTAAGAATGTATTCATTTATGGAAAGGAATGGGAAGCAGATAGCTTATTTAATACAAGGATGGCAGATATCTTGATTGATTAAATGCTGTGATATAATGAAGTTTGGCATTTGTCACAACTATAAATCTATAAATCTAGGCTTTCGTAACTAATGTTCATCCATTTGCAACAATGAAAAGTAAAAGACGACTACTCTGTTTCTATAAGACAACATTGGTTTTTTATAATGAAAGGGAAGGTGACAGAAGGGGAATATTAAGATTTAAAAAACTATAAGCTTTTGTAAAAACAATGCCAAAATTAGAGAAAAACCTGCTGTGTTGTAATCATATGCAAGCTTATTGTAAGCTTTATTCAAACTTTACAAACAGCTAGCAAATACAATTCTGATTGAATGCAGAGATGTGGGGTGAAAAATTTTCTGCGGAAAATTTTCCAGTGCTTTATTTTTCTGTAGGAAATTTTCCATTTCTAAAAATTCATTGTTTCATAAAATTCATTAGTAACAATGAATGGATGCCAATACAATATTAGACAACCTTGGCAGTTTCAAAGTTGTAATTAATGTTTTTCAGGTGATTATCCCTAGGAAGTGTATGAGAGAGCACATATACGTTTTATTGATTTGTAAACAGGAGGGTAAATACACTCATATAATAATCCAAACAAAAAATCAAGTTATGAATTCACCTAATTGGCTGTTCAGGTCAAATCAAAAACCAAATGAAGGCACTGCTAAGCTTCTTTCTATTTCTCAAAATCTCTTGCTTCTGGAGAATCAGTCAGAAACACAATTAGTGAAGAAGATGCAGTGTGATGATATGTTGTCCTCGCCCATAGACTCATTGGTAAAACCATCCTTTAGTAAAAGAGAATGTGGTTCAAGTAGTTCTGAAATCACACTTGCCTCAATCTGATTCTGAAATGGAACGACTAAGTGGTGCAAGTGATTCTACAGATAGTGACAGTGAAACTGGAGGTGCCGCAATAACTTCGGTGGAAGAGAGTTAAACTCTGTTGAATTAGATGAGTGGACAACCATGGCATATCATGCACAGTTCTTCGGGTGTGCTACAATTAGCATGTCAACAGTTTTCAGTGCCAGCATTTTTTTCCTTAAATTTAAACAAACAATGTAAGGGAAGTACATGCTATTGTGTATTGTCTTTACTTTTTTTCAAGTATTCCAATAAAAATAATTTGTTTCCACATAAAGCTTTGAATTTGCTTGAATATAACAATATTTAAACCACATTAAGTGTGCCGTGTTTAATTTTTTTCCTAATCACATATTTCAATTCAAATACTTGTGGCTACTGGGACATAAAATTAACATGGGGTACTTTTTTTAGTTTTGTTTACTAATTATAAGTCAAATAAACATGCTAAATCAGATCACGCTCCATTTAGGGCATTGGAAAAAATTTCAGAAAATATTCCAACTCAAAATCTTCTGGAAAACCAGCATCTCTGATTGAGTGGCTAGGCAAATTTATGTTATAAATATGATCAGGTTAAACAACAGACCTCTAAATGCATACCTCTTAAATATATTAGAAGGGATATGCTGAGCTACATACAAACACTAATCTGACAAAGGGTCTATTCAGAGACTTATTTTCTGTTCATTAACTGTGAATAATTAAGTGTTGGCAGACCACACAAAGACAATGTAGAAATAATGGCAGGATAACTGGAAAAATATGAAGGAGCAGTACACTGGGAATGCAGTAGGGAGAGTCTTTATAGACTAAAATGGTGCAAATAAGTAGTTTGCTTTTCATTCATCTCACACAGTGGACTGACAGGTCAACTTCACCGTAGATTTTTTCCCCCCTTTTTTCTTTTTAATACAATAATGGAATACTCAGCTATACAGAAGAATACAAAGGTTGTCTGATCAACAACAAAACACAACAAAGACACACCTCCCCAAAAAACAAACCAAACCATAAAGTTTCCACAAAACATAACACACCTAAGTAGTTTTTTTTTTGTTTGGGGGAAGTGGGGGTGGGGGTGAGGAGGGAGGGAGGAGAAAGAAATAGCCCAAAATTCTAATCTGGAGTATATTTCAGCATTCTTCTACAGGGTCTAAATAAAAAAAGCACAAACGATTAATGTGAACAAATTGAGGGAGTTTCCAAAAAGTTTTTATTCCTTGATGATTACCATATGCCTCAAGTGATACTGTAAGGAAAGATCCAGGAGCCTTAATGGTTTAGCAGCCAGCACCGGCCCCAGGCGCTCCAGGATGTGTGCTACCCACAGAGTCTGTTCCAGCTAGTCTGGGACCTGCACAGTACACAGAGATGCTGCATGTGGCACAGATCTCAGATGTGTGGTACAGTCTGGGTGGGACAGGTGATGAGTGTAGTGTGGCACCTGCCCTGGGATCTATGCTTCCTGCCCCAGACCCTCTGGGATCTGCACTCTATGTAGGCTACAGCATAGA